GGAGCACTGGGTGTTATGCACAAACAATGAATCATGGAACACTACATCTAAAACTAATGATGTAATGTATGGTGATTAACATAACAATAAAAAACTTTTAAAAAAAGATAAAAAAAATTATTTCCACGTCTAGGATCTTTGGCTTTAAGAGTACTTACTTGAATTCAATTCAAGCCACACTTAATGGTGTGCATAATTTTCATTGTTGTATGTGACAATAGAACATTAATAGAATCTGACAAACTGGGTTATGTTTACATAGCAGAATCATATTCCTTTTTATAACCAGCATAAATATTGATAGTCCTCTCAAATATAGCTAGGGTATCATGTAATCATATTATCCATTCCTTCTACTCTAAGACAAAAGTTCTGGTCCATTTCTTCAGTAGATGGGCTCTCTGCTTCTCAATTATCCACTCCAGTGGTTCAGTTCTTCCCTCTTATCACCACCATCACTTCTATTTTAATTTCTCTGATAGTTATTCGCACTAAAGTTTAAACTGGAGACTTCAGAATGGAACTGATTGCTGGCAATTCTGGAAAGTACTGGATGCTCTGAATGTTGGGAAGAGAGGGAAAGTTCAGTGGAATAGAGGCTGAGGCCAAAGAGGACACATGTCATCGTAAGACATAGGTTTTTGCAACCTTCTTCTAGGCATGGAAAATTCAAGCTATACTCAATGGCTTTTGAATCAATGAAAATACAGCTCTCTGGGTTGTGTCCCTTGGGCCCCCTGAGCATCTCTTGGGCTGATGTCTCCTCTCCACATTTGTGGTTCATGCACTGAACAGACTACACTCTCTTTTCAGAGGTCTGAGCATCAGTTTGGCAGAGAGTCCCCTCCAGAGGTCTGGGCATCAGTCCTACAAGATCCTTCCTTTGAGCTCCTAGGTTCTTTTGTTCCCTCTTGTTTCTTTCCTGTAGTTGTTAATTTCGGGGATACTTCAGCACCTACTTGTTACTCTTTAGCCTTCTAACATATTTTGTAACCAGTTCCCTTTGAAATTCCTTGTGTGGGTTCTGCTTTCCACACTAGATCCTGATTGAAACAGAGACCTAAGGAATTTGGGGGCCAGATGATAGGACCCTTTAGATGCCATTTTGTGGTGAACATCCCAAGACAGGAGGTATGTTGATTGATACATAATGGAGAGGCTCTTCAGTTGAAGAGGGGACCCAAGAGAGGTGACACTGACTGAGCCTGGCTTTGAACACAAGTGTGTCTGAATTCATTATCACACTCTCTCCTGGGGTAACAGATAAACTGGAAGCCAAAAGTGATGGGATTGAGGCCTCAACAAGAAAGGACAATATTCCTCCAAGGGCAACAAGGAGATGGGGGTGAAAAGTATGAGAGGTTGAGCAAGGAACTTTTCAGGGCTGGGAAGAGGAGCTCATGGAGGTGCTTGCCTAGAATGCTCTGTCTTAGCCCTTCCCTCCCACCCCCCAGCTAGGCGGGTAAATACGAAGTTGTTTCCAGTCTCTTTTTTGAAATTCACCTCAGTCAAGTTAGCTTGTGCAGCAGAAAATTTTTGTGCTTGACCTCAGCAGATGGAGAGTGGGGGTGTAATAAACATGGTACCTCCCACCAAAAATAGTATTAATACCTGTTACCATTCACTGAGAACCTACAAATGCCCTGCATTACTAGAACAGAGGGTGGGGGATAAGTTGGGATCTGGGGCTCAGTTTTTAGGGAGATCATTGCTGACTATTTTAGTTCTTAGGCAGTTCTGGAGTCCACTGCATTTTGGGGGCACCAGGGACCAGGCTTGCCTCTGTTAAGGGTATGCTGCTCAGTGCCTGTGGCTTCCCAAGGGGGTGGAGGTGCTGAAAGAGTACAGTAAGGGAGCTTTCAGCTTAGTCCACTTTTCAGGGGTGGCCTGGGTGGTTCAGGCATAGTTGGATGGCCAGGAATGCCATGTGGACCCTGCCTGAAGTCCACAGCTAATTTTGCAATCACAGGACTCCCTTAGTGGAACTGTAGAGGGCAAGCTTGCCTGCCTCAACAGATGGACTCCTTTTGTGAAGGGCCTGGCATTTCCAGTTACAGCCTGAGTGAAAAGGCAGGAGAACTGAGTTCTGGGGAAGTCCCTCAGTCTCCCCTTGCTGAGAAGCCTGGGGTCTGTCATCGCTCTATTTCCGTGTGGGCATGGCTCGGTGCCTCCTTCTCTGGCAACTCATGCTGATGCTGTGATTTCTTCATCTGAGTCTCAGGATATTCTGACATATAATTGCCACGCCCCACCAAGGTAGGTGGCACCTCCCCCATTGTACCAAATAAATGGCAGTCTCTGTCAGAGCCCATCACTGCTCTTGGGAGCTGTTGGAGCTGTGATTCAGTCCCCTGCACTTTTGATAAAGGTTCTCCAACTTTTCAGCCTTCCCTCTTTTCTGTGCTTTAGGGCTCAGGGAAGGGATGGGGCTATGCCAGGCTCTGTGTCTTGTCCAGTGCTTGTCTAGCTGCTTCTCACCTTCTCACTTCCCAGGGAGTTGCTGGGATCCTGGCAGAGCTGCTCTGCCCCCAGGCAGAAGCAGATGTCAATGGGGGAAGGAGGAGGAGACACAGGCATTAGGCGGCTGTGGGTATTTAAGGTCAAAAGTCACGCCTGGCTAGAACTTCTAGGAAGATACTGTCACTGGCTGGATTTTCGGGTGGAGGAAGTTCTGCCCCATGTCTCCTCCCTGTCGGTACCTTGAAGTTTTGTCTCAGGAGGTGGCTCAGATTTTCTGACTAGGCTTTGTGTCAGGCCAGGCTTCCCAGCTCCTTGTCCAGAATGAGGATCTCAGTAACTAGTGTCCTGGAAAGGTCTTGGAAATGTCTCCTGACGCTCATGTCTCCTATCACTGTCCCCACAGGTGTTGAGACAACCCCACTATGACATGCATTCGAGGAGTCCCTATCTCTGGAGAACCCTTTACAGCAGGTGATGTTGAGATGGGGCTCTGGAGGCCTGGGACACCTGCACTCATACCCGTCTCTTCTGGATCTTCTGGATATGCCCCAGCATTTTCTGCCCCTCTTTGTGTATAGCCCTTACCACCCAGTGCTCTCCAGCTTTCCCTGGACAGTGAGCTTCTACAGGGTGGGGAGCAGTGCTTATTCTCTGCTCTAACTCCAGACCCAGCACCAAGCCAAGCACACAGTAGTCATCAGAGGGAGTAGCTGGTCTTGACACACATGTCCTATGGGACAGTTTACCCTCTTAGACCATTTGCAGCCCTGGCCCTCCTCACCACAACCCATAGTTTTCCCAGAAAGAAAGGCTGAGCTGAGGGTCATGTGAATGCTGTCAGTTTTGGTGTGTAAACCCTGGACCTTCCTTCCTGAAGGGCCTAGCATCTAGCAAAGCGGCCTAGTTATAATGGTTCTTCATTATTCTTTTCTATTTAAACTGTAGTGAATAAACCTCATACTGGGGAGGTCTCCGACTTGAATCAGCAGGTGTGGATCCTTCAGGGTCAGACCATTGTGACAGTTCCACGGAGTAACAGTGTAACCCCAGGTGAGTGGTCATCCCGTGGCTGCTGCCTTCGAGGCAAGGGAAGGGTCACATTAGTGCACCTGGGATGCTGGCACTGGCCTTTTGTGAAAGGGTGGCTTGACAACAGGGCCCACCTGGAAGGAGGAGAATTTCACACCTGCCTGGGAAGCCATGTCAGGGAGAAGTTTGTCTGGACTAGGATTTAGAAAGCAGAGAGGGTAGAGCAGCCTCCTGGGGGGCAGGAGAGCTGCTTTCAGTAACTAATGGCCTGTCCCATGGAAGAGGAGTATTTTATTCTGCCTGGCTTCAAGGTGTCCTAAAAGGACTAAATGAGTGGGTACAAGAAGGCAGATTTCAACATCACATTAAGCAAAACTTGCTAATGGACAGAACTCTTCAAGGATCAGAGGGGCTGCTTGGGGTTGGAGCTTCCCACCTTCAGGTGTTTACGCAGAGGTATGACAATCTCTAGGACAGGGTCTGCCACCTGTTTAACTCTGTGTGTTTGCTCCATTTCCTAGGGACGTGACTGGTATGTCGTATGAATGAATGAATGAATGAATGAATGAATACAGTAGTTGGCCATTTGGTGGGCCTGGGGTAGCAGGGATGACACTCAAAAGGTTTCTTCCTGCCCCACCTGAAAGATGCTGGCCTTGTCCTGACTTCAAGAGGAAACTGACACCATCTCCCCTCTTACCTTTATTAGTCACTGTCACTGTTGTCCCATGCAAGTATCCAGAGTTGCTTGAGCAAGGAAGAGGAGTTCCCATTTATTTGGGAATAGAGAATCCAGATATGTGTCTGTCTTGTGAGAACATAGAAGGGCAGCCCACTTTGCAACTGAAGGTGAGTATGAAAAATGACGTTTAAAAAAAAGGCCAATTTCTTTTATAAGATGTGTATTTGGTAGGTAATCTAATTTTAGAATTAAAAAAAGAAATATTCACCTGTTCTTTTTTTTTAAGATTTTATTTATTTATTCATGAAAGACAGAGAGAGAGAGAGAGGCAGACGTTGAGGGAGAAGCAGGCTCCCCGTGGAGCAGGGAGCCTGATGTGGGACTTGATCCCAGGACCCTGGGAGCATGACCTGAGCTGAAGGCAGATGCTTAACCGACTGAGCCACTCAGGCACCCAAGAAATATTCTCCTATTCTTAAACATAGTTAATATTCCTGGATATTTTTGAGTAGTGTACATGCAATTGAGCTATCCTGACCCTCACTAGTTGAGGATGTTTGTCTTTCTTGAATTTTGAGATATTCTCAACCATTGTTTCTCTCTTTCATTCTGCCTTATCTTTCCTTTTGGAATTCCTATGCCTTAGTCATTGGAACTTCTAGATCCCTCTTTAATATCTTGTCTAATTTTCCATACTTTCTATCCTTTCATTGTTTTTGTTTTTTGCTTGTTGCATCCTGGGAGAATTTCTTGGTTCCATTTTCGAAGTCATGATTCCATTTTAAGCTTTTCCTATCTGCTAAATCATTCTCCCCTTGCCGTTTTCTGAAATTTCAATCTTTACTCTTGTTCCATAAACTTCAGCTCCATAAACTTCTGTTTAATTCAATTCAATTTAATTTAACCCCATCAAATTCAGTTCAGTAAATGTGTGAGTTCTTACTGGCCTTTAGCTCTGTTGTGGCCATTTGACATACATTGGGGCACAGAACGGCAGAGAGCCCTGCCCTCATGGGGCGTGGATTCTAGCAGGAGGAGAGAAATGGTAGACAATAATTATCAGGATGGGTAAGTTGGTGATGTGTGTAAGAGTGTTATGTCCCCTGGGAGAGCAGGATAGAGAGGTGGGCAGTGCTAGACCCAGGTGGAGTCGGGTTGCCATAGAAAATAGTGCAGCAGGCATGCTAAGATTTTAACAGACAGTAGAAGGCAACAAGAGAGTTAGCCAGCTGGGTGTCAGGGAGGGCAGGGATTAGCAGAGAAAACAGTGACAGGAGTGAATTAGGGAGGAGGAGTTCGGAGAGATAAAGGCAGATCACAAAGGGCCTTACTGGCATTTATAAGGACTTTGCCTTTCAATTTGAGTGAAATGGGGAATTATTAGAATGTTTTTAATAGGAGAGTGACATAAATGGACATAGGTTTTAAAATAATTATTTTGGCTGCTAGCTGAAAGCAGACTGTGGTGGAGGGCAGGGGTGAAAGTCCTATGGGGAACTTCGACGTGATCTAGGTGAGATCTGATGGATGAGGGGATAGCAGTGAAGGCAGATAGAAGCCAGTCTGACTCTGAAAATATTTTATTTAAACTGAGGCAACAGGATTTGCTGACAGAGTGAATGCAGAGTGTGGTGAAGGTGGACTGAGAATTACATTTTCAGCTAAGTCCTGTCTAGTAAGCCGCCTTTCTATCGTGGTTTTGTCCTCAGATGGACTGAGAATCGACCACTGCATTCTGCCATGTGTGGGTCCTTAGGGACCTTGGTGACAGCAGTGTTGCTGCAATGCTGGAGGTAAAAGCCTGGATGGAGGGGGTTTAAGAGAGGGACAGGAAGGGATAAATCCAAGACAGCATATATAGACAACTATTACAGGGAAATTTCTGCAAAGGGAAGCTGGGAACGGTGATAGGCAATCGAAACAGTTATTTTTTAAGATGGTAGAATGACAGCAAATATGCTAATGGGAATGATGGAGAGAAAGCCAAAATGATGAATTGCTAGAGGAGCAGGCATAAGCTGGGGATGGCAGATGGGACCTGCAGCCCAGTCCTTCCTAGGCCGGACATTGAAAGGGAGGAGGAGGACGTACTGGAGTTTGAAATGAGAAAGTGTCTTTTTATTTGTTAAACACATCTCTATTGAATTTCTCTGTGTTGAGGAATGCAGTGATGAACAAATCTGGCAGTAATGATATGATTGATAGATAAATATACTAAGTTCAGATGGTAATCAGAACTAATGAAGAAAATAACCTGGTAGCGAGATAGGGAGGGGGTCCGAATGTGGCTGAATTACAGACCATTCCTGTGTAGTGGCTCTCTGGAGATCTTTAATTTAGTTAGAAATACTTATTTTACTTAAATACATGGTACATAAACATACAAAATATACTTCTATATGTGACATAGAAGGCATTTTCTGATTGCTCTATTTACTTTGTTGTTGTTTTTTGAATGCAAATCCTTTGGTTTTTTAGACCCTCTTGTGTCTTTTTCCTGGCACTGACCTTTCTCACATGCTGGCAGTTGGTCAAAGACTAACACGGAACTTTGGTTAGAGCAATGGTGTTTGCAGGGCGGCGGCCCTCACTGCTGCGGCTTTGGTGGGAGAGGTCCTTGGTTTTTTGCTGCAAATCTGCATCTCCTTCCTTTTCCTCCGCTCGGCTTCTTGTGTGAGAAGAGTTCCAACTCATTGTTCGAGTGTGCCCACGTGTTCATTAACCTGTTCCTGTGTCATTCCTCCTCTGTCTCTGGATTTGAGGCTGGGGGCTGGGAAGGTGAGATGGTGTGCTCACTCTGCTGCTCCTAGGCCTGTTTTAATAGAGGGATAAGGCTTTCTCGAGCTTTGGAACATTTACTGATTGCGTGCAAGTAATGTTGAAGGACTCAAACAGCCTCTGCTTCTCCTGCGGGGCCTTCTCTGTCATATTTAAGGAGGAGGAGATACTGGATCTGTACAACGAAGTCAAGCCCGTGGAGCCCTTCCTCTTTTACCACTCAAAGAATGGCAGGACCTCCACCTTCGAGTCCGTGGCCTTCCCTGGCTGGTTCATCGCCTCCTCTGACAGAGGCCACCCCATCTTCCTCACTTCGCACCAGGGGGGAGTGTACAATGTTAACTTCAATTTAAATATCAATGCTTGAACTCAGGCTTGAGGGGGCAGCTTGGTCAGAGGTCTTTGTGTTAAATTTTTGAGTTCCCAGTGTGCTTTCCTCTATATTATCTCAGGGTCACTTTCACATCAGTGCTGAGAGGTGGGCAGGACCCTGTTATCACCGCACTTTATGAATGACTTCATGTCAACTGAGGCATAGAATGTGGGCTCAGACATAGGAGGGAAGGGTGATGTGATGTAACGTTCTGTCAGGCTGAAGCTGTTCATCCCACAGCTATCCCACCGTATGAGTATGAGAAATGTCGGGACCCAAAGACATTAGGGCATTCCCTGGGGCTGGATATGGAGAAGGCTCAGAGCTTATGAATCTTACCCAAGACCGGGTGACTAGTGCGGAACTGATTGTTTTTGTTTTGCTTTGTTTCCTTTCCTATTTGGATTATATTTTCCATATAGTTTGTATGTTGCTAGTATATCTCAAGTTGTATAATGTATCCTTTTAAAGGTTAAAGAACTTTTAAAGATAAATAATTCTTAATAACAGTTAAATTATGTTTTTTCCTAATTCTAATATGTAAACATAAGGCCAAATATAAACTTCATGTTTTTACACAATAAGAAAGCTAAAACTAAGATATAAAATGAAATAGCAAGCATAGTAAACTGAAATTAGCAAGAGTAATTGAATGAGGATAGCTCTGTGGGTGAGCCTGGGACCGGGGCTTAGCTGGGGGGAGGAGGACCCCTGTCACTGCTGATAGGCTGGGGAGGAGATGATGCATGTAAAAGAGAACTATTATTTCACTACTTTCTGTACAGTCTCACAGCCTTGATTTCTTTGCCTCTTCTAGACTTTTCCTTTTAGGCATACTCACCATCCACATAATCCCTTTAAAAACTGCAGGAAAGGTCCCTTTCTCTGGAACAGAGAGCCTTGCTTTTTCACCAGCCGTGCTTCAGATGATGTATTCTGATGAAATCTGTTGAAATTAAATCACTGATTGTGAATTTAATTGTAGAAAGATGTAGCTCAGATATGGTTCTGTATATAATACATTTCTTATTTTGTCTCTGATGTTACAAATGCAGAAAATTCTATTTACTTAAATAAAATTTCCAAAATAGTACCAGTAAATTAAATTTTTTTTTTCTACTTTTGGACAATCAGACCACATACTCTACTAGCCAGGCCAGTAAGCAATCAGTAAGCACCGATTTAATGCAAGGTCTCTTGATTCTTTAAAGTTTTCTTCTTCAATTACGTATAGTTTTAGCATTGTAGTTTTATAAAAAACAACATTAAAATGGGCACTGAGCTAATTCTGGGATATTAAATAGAAGACTTGGTTATTGAATATTTATGACTATCCTCACTGCTAATAAATGGTGGCAGTGTCTTACATCTGCCAATTTACATTGTTACATTGTCGGTTGTTACATCTGACAGTTGGGATCCAATGACACATTTGCTTGTGACAGGATTATGGTCTGAGTGTTACAGCATCTCCAGACTACTACAGGCTGTGTGGTGATTCCAATGTCCCATCTCTTTTCTCTACCACCAAAACTGTTCATGCAGACACTGTGACACTTTGGGTTGTCACTTGGCACAGATTTGAGCCCAAACAAAGCTCAAATATGAGTCTTGGTGCCATGTAACTGGCTATCCTGATGATCCAGAAGAGGTTCTGATAACATATTCAGAGTGTAATCAAAATGGAAACATAGTAATCTCATAGTTTGTGGAACTGGAGAACAGACTTCCAGGGATCCCTTGACTTATCCGTCACATTTGAGAAAGACCACAGCATATGAAATCGTGGAAGGCTCCTGTGAGTAGCAACATCCTCATTTTCAGGTTTATGGCCTGGTGAACATCTAGTTTTCACACATTTGAATATCAAATGCTCTGATATTTGAGTTCTAGGAGCTCCAGGCCAACATTCCTTGAAGGATTTGGTTCTTTTGGGTCTTTAGCAATGGGGTGGTATAAGGGGCTTGATGCATTGTGTTGGGGGAGGTCATCGAGAGGATATGACCACCAGTTGAC